CACAAATGACCTTCTCCTAGGTAAATCCATGGATTCTGTCTCGATCATTCTTTCTGAACTATCTCATACCTTTCACACTGTTTCTTTCTTCCCTGCATTGTCCCCTCTAGGCTTCCACAACTCTGTGCTGTTTCTTCCCCCTCATCTCTTTAAAACTCGAGCATTGTCCTCCTATTTGCTCTAATACTTACTGTCCCCATGACCTTATCTGCTCTGAGTTTCAAGCCCCATTTTTATGCAGACAAGTTTCAAAACTTCTCTACCTGACTTTTCCCTTCCACACATTATAACTGATTCTCAAGTTGCCTATATAATATTTCTTCATTTCTCTGTCTCATCATGACTTCCATCCTTGCTCCTCTCCTTTCCATTAATGACAACTCCACTATCCTACCCATGGCTCAGGTTCAGAACCATGTCATGTTCTCTCCTCTGACTCACCATATTCAATCTCTCTACATCCTGTTATTTCTTCTTCTTTAATATCCCCAGAATCTGCCCCCCTCTCACTCTTTTCTAAAACTGATTCCCATGACTTCACCAATTTTAGCCTTAACTTCCTTTCTCTCCCAGCCTCCTTGCTCTTCCCCCTGCCATTCATAAAAATCCTACCGCTAAAAGAATTTCCCTTTGCTATTGCTCTAATTGCATCATTCCCCAACCTTCCTTTTATCTATATTGGTTTTCTGTTGCTTGCTGTATTAAATTCAAGCTTCTTGTCATCTTCAGGGTCATATACAACCTTGCACATGTGAATCTTGCTCTCAATTCCCTCTCTTCTTTTAGTCTCTCTGTTTTCCTTTCCTCCACCTTTCCTGCTCCTTTAGCCTCTGTGCTTTCTCTCACATTGCTCTGTATGCTCGGAACAGTCTAGACTTTGGTCAAACCTGGTCTCCCCTCCTTCAAATCCACTTAGTTCATCTCCTCCTGATTCTGAGTAATTGTCCCTTGATTAGTCGTCTTGCCAAGATGGTAAGCTTACTGGAGCAGAGCTTTATACTTCTGTTTGAAAGGGGTCATGTCAGTTTTGTGTAAGGTATATATAAATGTCATAGATTCAGGCTTCATTTTGCTGTTGGACTCTCATGTTGTAGAGTACATATATTCAAGATCCACCACAGAGATCCTGTTCTTAGTGATAAGGAAGCATAAAACTAGTTAATAAAGAGCAAGCTTGAGAATATACTCAATGGAACTGAAAGGCAAAGTGAGGAAAGCAGAAAAACATCTCATAGCTACATAGAGTCAGTAATCGTTTCTCACTGTCCGCGAAGAGCACAGGTGCCCAGAGCAACCTCTGCCCATGGGAAGCCTGTTTCCACCATGGAAAGGGGCTGCTCCAGTGGGGTCTGGGAGCCAAGAGCCAGCAGAACCAACCTCAGTTCAGGGCTGAGAACCAGAAGCCCCATGGGTTGGGCTCCAGCCAGAGCCCAGAACTTGCTTAGTCGATTAACCAGTTAAATTTTAACCTAATCTACCGTTTAACCAGTTAACTGATTATTGGGATTCTACATCCCTATCTGCCATTCCATTCTTTTTCCTGTTGTTTACAGCTCGATTGTCACACTGCTTTATTCTAGTCTTTCGATACTGAATATTTTCTATATAAATGCAAAAT